ATGATATATTCAAAGGGCACAACTGTAAATATTCTATGAAAAACTATAGAATATTTTATGTAATCTTCTACAAAATATTCTATGTCTCAATACGTGGGTTTGATCTTGTTCATATAAATTTAGTAGCAGTTTAAAACAGTTAGTTGATAGCAGTTAATTAACTGCAGATGTGCAGTGTGCAATTAATTTTTTTTTAATTAACAGTGTGCTATTAATTAATTTTACTTATATATTCTGAAAAACTTCCTAGAAATGTTCTTTTTATTAAAAATATATTAAAAATATATTCTATGTATATTCATAAAATGTTCGATTCAAATATTCCGAGATTATTTGTATTTTTAAAGATGTTCGTAGAACATGTTATCTAGGTATATTTTTATCATTGAAGAGAAATATATAACGATAAAAAAGGAAGAAAATTAAAAATTTTTTAGGCCTCTCATAAAATTGTGAGTGTGAAAAATCCGTCTTTGCCTGTGTCTTTCTTTAGGTTTTCTACACATAAAATCTGGACGAAAGATTTCGAATGAATGGAAACGGAGGAGAAAGTGAAAAACGCGAACAACTCAAATTAATCAGAAATGTACACGAGATGAATGTACACGCGACATTGCGAACTAATCGCATTTACGTTTTAATCACGTTGGAATGAAACTGATTTACCTTGGTTCAAGAGAATAATCTCGACAGTTGCTCTGAGAGGCACGTGGCGCACGTGTACGCATTCGCATATGTCACCCGCGCCGACGTCGCCGACCTGACGACATCGGCGTCGTGACATGGTCTCGTTGCTCTCATTGAGATCATCCTCGTTGTTATCGTTGTTGGTGCACAGCATCCCCGGAGACACGTCTCCACCTTGGGTCAACAGCGGTGACGGCGGAAATGTGAAAGTGACGTTGTTCACATTCAACACTCGCGTCTCCGTCCCACTGTTACCTAAAGAAGACGAAAGATATTCGCATTGCGATTAAATAATCAAGTTTATATCGCACATTTCTCTCTTTTTCTCTCTCTCTCTCTCTCTCTTAATTTAAAGTTACCCATATAGTCTTTTTATCAATTTGATTATACACCGATGTTTTCTCGATGTGCACTGCGAGGTGAGCGTTATAAAATTTCTTCTCCATGTGTATGAAAAGTGATGATTGTGCAAAGACGACTATTACGACATTTGTAAAGAGATTAATCTTTACAAGACAGAAGAAAGCCACTATAGTGATGATACTAAAATAATGCTATATCTTGAGATAAGAAATATAATAAAATAATGAATTATAACAAATCTTTAGGAACAGCTGTAAGATTAAATAAATCTTCGTTCTTAACAGCTTAATGAAAATGTAGTGTCACTCATCAGTGCTTTGTTAGTAATAGTTATGAGAAATTAATAAACAAGGTAATATGATTTTGAATGATATAAAATCCAATCTTTTAATTTTAGTTTGGTTTTCTTCTATTTGGTATCTTTTAATACTCTCCACACAATAATCAGGATTACAAACTTGAACCTCGAAAATTGCATTCAAATCTTATTTCAGAATTTTCGAAATTGTATCAGCTTTCTACATCGCAGCATTTTCATTTCAACCAAATTG